CTACCATAAATGTCATAATTTCTAAATAAAAAGGCTATTTCCTGCTAAATAAAGTTCTTAAACTCAAACCCAGAAGACAGAACAAGAGAAAAGACATACCATCCTTTTAAGCTCTTCCCTGCCCCCACTTTTTTCTTTTAAATTATTATTAATAGTCTGATCTGTTACAAACTACCATAAATGTCACAATTTCTAAATAAAAAGGCTATTTCCTGCTAAATAAAGTTCTTAAACTCAAACCCAGAAGACAGAACAAGAGAAAAGACTAACCCACACTGCCTTCTTGATTATCAGTTGTTTCTTCATCAGTTCTTTGAATACCTTTTTGTTTTCCTCTTGTGTACATATTAAGATTGCCCTAAAAATGTTTAAATAAAAGTCATTAACATTTAGTATCTATTCATTAAAAAATTCAGCAGGATCCTCCAATCTTGCTTAAAATGAAGATATTTACAGCTGTAAACTCTTATAACTCTAGCAGTAACTAGTGATTGATCAAAGAAATGCTGGACAAAGTGATGACTAATTTAACCAAAAATGAATTAGGTACCACCGAAAAAGATTAAACTGCAGATTAAATCATCCCCTTAACAGAAAAATATATTTACTTCTTCTGTTTCATTAAACACTCTGAAGTCTTCGAGTTCTCTCATTTGCTGTCTATGCATTTTCTTCATGTCATCCATTTTTTGAAGTACAGCTTCAGCGGTGCTTTAAAAAAAAATGATATAAATATATGCTAAAATTTTAAAAGAACAGATTTTTAAAAACTTAATTTTTCTTCTGTTGCAATATTTCAGTGTTAGAGTTTAAAATATTTCTATAAGCAGCATTTACTTGTGTAAAAATATTTTAAAATTTCTTTCCAAGAATTTAAACATACAGAATTATTACAAAGACCTCAAATAATCATTTTCCTTTATGCTTTACATAAACTACATGCATTAAATATTCAGGCTGGTCGAATTTCATGATCCCTCCCCAACAAAAAAATTTCTGCCAGATAAATCATCTTTAATCTAAGGCACTTTCACTTACTTTGTTATAAGTTTGTCAAATAGCACAGACTGGTTTACAGTATTATAACGACTTCTAATCCTGCAACTGCGGCGCACTTCAACATCACCATTCTCTTCGTGCAAGTGGCCTGTAGTTTGAACAATATTTCTAGTCCTCAATGACCGAATAACTGGAATCACTTTGTCTTCATAGGTGCATACATAAAAATAAATAGAAAAATTTGAAATAACAGTGTTTATGAAACAATTATAAAATGAAGAATTGAAAAGCTACACTTTCACGTAACAAAATTATAGTGTCTTAAACTTAGCTTTCCTAAAAACATTAGAAAACAAAATAAAGTTATGACATATACCTACCACATGATCCAGCCCTTCCACTCCCAAGAGAAGAGGAAAGATATGCAATAAAAAGAGTGATACACAAATGTTCAAAGCAGCTTTGTGATAGCCCCAAACCAGAAACAACCCAAATTCACCAAAAGATGAAGAGAAAAACAAATTGTGGTATATCCATATAATGGAATATTACTCGGCAACAAAAAGCAATGACATGGTTTATACTCATAATAATTATCCTGAGTGAAAGAAGCCAGACAAAAAAGAATGCATACTACATGATTCCATTTATATAAAATTCTAGATAATACAAACTAATCTATGGTGACGAAAATCAGATTCTAAAATAAATGGGCATGGCTGTGTTTCAATGAAACTATTTATTTTCTCAGGAGTCAGGAGTGGGGGATGGGGGTGAGCTGGACAGCAAGGAGAGGAGCTGGAAGAGCCAGGAGAAATTATAAAGGGGCTTGAGGAAACTTTTGAGGGTAATGATTTTGCAGCATATACTGATATCAAAACCTAAGAAATTCGGCCGGGCGCAGTGGCTCACGCCTGTAATCCTAGCACTCTGGGAGGCCGAGGCGGGCGGATTGTTTGCGCTCAGGAATTCGAGACCAGCCTGAACAAGAGCGAGACCCTGTCTCTACTAAAAATAGAAAGAAATGATCTGAATAACTAAAAATATACAGAAAAAAATAGCCAGGCATGGTGGCGCATGCCTGTGGTCCCAGCGACTCAGGAGGCTGAGGCAGTAGGATTGCTTGAGCCCAGGAGTTTGAGGTTGCTGTGAGCTAGGCTGACGCCATGGCACTCATTCTAGCCAGGGCAACAGAGTGAAACTCTGTATCAAAAAAAAAAAAAAAAAACCTAAGAAATTCTACACTTTAAATATGTACCATTTATTGTATGTACCTCAATAAACATGTAAACAAAATATTAGTTACATGTTTTAAAAATCTGAAATGCCTTTAACGTTACATACCTTCTTTGCACTCTTCTTTTTTTTTATCAGCCTGCTGTCTGGCCAACTGCCTATATGAAAAAAATATGTTAAATAATTTAAAATAATTGATGTAACTTTAAAATCTACATTTCATAATACCATAAACCATGAAAAAAAGTTAAATCAGCCTGGAGAGTAAATACTCAGATACCCGAAAACCTAAAAAACACTGAAAAAAACAACAAAGCTTGAGAATATCTATACTTACATAAGTTATGGTTACACAAAGTCTAAGAACCCTGTTTTGCAGTTCAGTGATATATGCACTAACTCTCAGCTAAACAGAATTAATCAAATCCAAGTATCTTACTTGAAACAAGAAATTAAATCCTTAGCCTAAGTATTTAAGTATAGTTGAACTAAGTAAACACTGAGCAAAAACAAGATGAATTTTACCCCACAACGATATAGGAGTCCCATATCCTTGAGGAATTTGTTAACTATAATCAAATCTAATGCCCCTTAGTGGTAAGTTAATTGCCTTTTAAGAGCATCTTTGGATACAATCTCTACATGACATGCATTATTATTATTCATATGTAGAAACAGTCCCATTTGTGAATCAGATATTCCACCTACAAACTGGCAGACAGCATCCCTGAATTGGAAAGAACACTTTCCAAGCCTTAAAATAAAATACCCCCCTCATCTTTTTTTCCAAAAAATCCACTGAGCAAACAAAACAGTATGTCTCATTAACTTATTTTTAGTGACTCAGTTTTCCATACTTGGACATTCTATATCTATTAATCAGCCTACGTATCAAACTATTTGCAAGTAGCCTGGTTTATATGTGGAATTTCAAATAAAATAAAATAAAACCATCTTATCCAGAGGATAAGATATTCTCATATCTTCTCATATTCTCACAACAATGTGAGCCATCGTGAATTCCTTACCTCTCTTGGAACATAAGTACAAACCAGTAAGACCTTTGAGCAATCCACCTACAGGTCAAGGCTTAGTTCAGTCATAGGCTCATCGACTTTTCTCATAAAGAAGCCCCTCCCTCCACACCATGTAGATCTATACATTTTATAAACTAGGCCCCTCTTAGATGCTAGGTACACAATGATTAAAGCAGTATTTTTCTTTTCCTTTTTTTCTTTTTGCTTGCAGGGGAAGGGAGGCATTTTATCCTTGGTAAACTTGTCTTAAATTGTTGGATAGTTTATTTTTTTAGGCTTGTGAGCCACAAAATCTGTCACAACTACCTGGCATAGTAGGGTGAAAGCAGCCATACAAAGACAAAATGAATGGGCACGGCTGTGTTCCAACGAAGCTATTTACAAAAACAGGCAGCTGGACTTTGTCAACCCTGTCAATCTGTTGAAAGCTATGGATCTTTGATCTAGAAAACTGCATATACTTTACACGTTTAAACATTACTTCAGAGGTTTCGTGCACCCCTAAAGATCACCCATAATCACTGGACCCTAGTTAAGAACCCCAGGATCTAAGAAGTCTACAGATCCTGCCCTTATAGCACAGTCATTCATATCTTTCTGTATTTTTATAACAATCCTGATCCTCTAGTCTTGGAGCCCCAAATAGATTGAAAACAAATGGTAAAACGAATAGGAAGGAAGTAAAGAGTTTACTACACTCAGGCATATATATGGATAATAGTGAAAAGGGAAATAGTGAATAGTGAAACAGGAAAAGTACATAAAGCAGAACTCAAAAATACTGTAGGCCATTTTATAAAAGCCTTATACAAAAAGATACTGATGTTACTACTATATAAAATAATAAACAGTATTTGTAATAACGACTTGAATACAGGGAGAGGATTTTTATATTGGAATTATTTTCCATAGAAGACAAATGGCCAATAAGCACATAAAACAATACTCAACATTATTAGCCATCAGGGAAAGGCAAAGCAGAACCAAATGAGATACTTCACACCCATTAAAATGGCTAACACCAAAATGACAGATTATGACAAGTGTTGGCGAGGATGTGGAGAAACTGCAACCCTCATGCATTTCTGGTGAGAATGTAAATGGTGTAGTTGCTTTGGAAAACAGTTTGGCAGGTCCTCAAAATGTCAGTGCTAGTATTTGACCCAATAATTCCACTACTAGGTAAATACCCAAAAGAATTGAAAATCTACATCCACATGAAAATTAGTACACCTGGCCGGGCACTGTGGCTCACGCCTGTAATCCTAGCACTCTGGGAGGCCGAGGCGGATGGATCGCCCATGGTCAGGGGTTCGAGACCAGCCTGAACAAGAGCGAGACCCCGTCTCTACTAAAATATAGAGCGAAATGATCTGGACAACTAAAAATATATATATATAGAAAAAATTAGCCGGGCATGGCGGGGCATGCCTGTAGTCCCAGCTACTTGGGAGGCTGACGCAGGAGGATCGCTTGAGCCCAGGAGTTTGAGGTTGCAGTGAGCTAGGCTGACGCCACAGCACTCTAGCCCGGGCAACAGAGCCAGACTCTGTCTCAAAAAAAAAAAAAAGAAAATTTGTACACCTACATTCATATCATTATTCACAATAGCCAAAAAGTGGGAACACTCCAAATGCCCACCAAGTGATGAAAGAATAAACAAAACATGGTATATCCATACAGTGTAATCTCATTCGACAATAAAAAGAACTAAGTACTAATAGATATCACAATATAAATGAACCCTGAAAACATTATACCAAGTGAAAGAAGCCAGATACAAAAGGCCATATATTATATGATTCCATTCATATGACACGTCTAGAATAGTCAAAGCCATACAGGCAGAAAGATTAGTGCTTCCCAAGCACTAATCTTGGGGGAGGACAGGGAGAGCTAATGGGCACAGGGTTTATTTTTGGGGTGATGAAAACATTCTGAAATTAGATAGTAGTGATGGTTGCTCAATACTATCAATATACTAAAGCCATTGAATTGCATGCTTTAAAATTATGAATTTTATATGATTTATATATCAATAAAGCTGTTATTAAGAAAAAACTAATTAAAAAGATGGTAATTAAACATACTTTAGAAGGAATCTAATTAAAAATACCAAATCATTCATCTTTAAATCCAGATCAAAAAGCACCCATTTTAATATAATCCCTTAATACCTTTCTACCATAAAGGCCAGCATAATGTTTCACAAACTTGAAAAATGCACAGATTCTTTTTTTTTTTTTTTTTTTGAGACAGAGTCTCACTCTTTTGCCCGGGCTAGAGTGAGTGCCATGGCGTTAGCCTAGCTCACAGCAACCTCAAACTCCTGGGCTCAAGCGATCCTTCTGCCTCAGCCTCCTGAGTCGCTGGGACTACAGGCATGCACCACCATGCCCAGCTAATTTTTTCTATATATTTTTAGTTGGCCGATTAATTTCTTCCTAATTTTAGTAGAGGCGGGGTCTCGCTCTTGTTCAGGCTGGTCTCGAACTCCTGAGCTCAAACAATCCTCCTGCCTTGGCCTCCCAGAGTGCTAGGATTATAGGCGTCAGCCACCGCACAGATTCTTTTAAAGGTAAAAACTGAGGACTTCCAACATTAAATTTTTTCTATGACTATGTAAAGCCAAACTAGATATAAGTTCATTTATAAGTTTTATACAAATAAAACTATGAAACTATCAAAAATATTAACATAATATGAAGTTTTGCTAAAATGAAACAGTCATTTGGCAAGTGATTGTGGTATCATTTTCTCTTGACTTTGGCATGTTATGTATCATGTTTCTTATGTACTGCTGTGTACCATGATGACTTAACTCATCCCCCATGTCATATGACATCATGTGGCCTTCTTTTGGAAGTGTATGCATCATTTATGTATTAAGTTCAGACTCTGTTCTTATCTCATTAACCTGAGATAACTAGAGCAGTACTACTCGGTGCCAATTTAACTGTAAACACAAATGTACGGCCTGAAATTTTACGGCAATTCTCTGCAAGGTAGCAATTTACATGAACCAGAATGTTTATTTTTTCAGATCATGAAAGATAATTTAAAAATTTTCGTAGAAAATTCATAGATCACTCCCTCACCCTCCCAAGAATAGAACTGAAGTCTTTAAATTTTAGAAATACTGGGCTAGCTTATATTGTATTTCTTGATTCTAAAAGTTGTAAATTCTCCCCCATTTTAACATCTCTGAAATTGGAATGTGTCCTACAATTGATGGCATGTCAGTTCACTGTCAGTGGCTTTTTTCCCAGTGTCTTATAAAACAATGTCATGTATTTCAACTGCTGATACAGAGGATTGCATGAAATACAGTAGTAAACACTGCCTAAATAATGGATGAAATAAAATGCAAATTTTAAAATATATGATAAAGGACTGATTAACTGAAAAAAAATTTTAAAGCTCAGAAACTTTAAAGAGTATAACCTCACTTATCTAGAAAATATGCTATACAAAATAAGAATCAAAATTCTATTTAAGAGTAGGAGGGTTGTACACACTACAAATAATGTATTCATGAGAAGAATTGTAAAACCAATTACTTCGTCAAACAAATTTTACTCTAATTGAGGCTTTCCTCCATTTATGTTAGGCCCACTGAAGTGGGGAAAGCAAAGGTTTTAAGCTAATTTAACTTAGATTTAAATCTGCCCTGAACCAAACAAAGTTCCATCAACTTAGCCACACTAACTAATCCACTGAAATTGATTGCTGGAGTATTAAAATGGGATTCATGCCACCTACTTCAGGGTTCTTAAGAAAAGAAATTTAATATGTATAAAGTATCTAGTTCCATTAGACTAAAAAGAAAACCAAACCAAAACAAAACAAAATAAAAAAACACATGTTCTCCCTTCTTTGTGAAGACTGCTTTTGAAACACACAGAAACTCATAAATGGCTCAAAATTGATGAAAAATTTTATAGCAAGCAATCAGAAATAGAATTACTATTTTGAACAAAGGCTTTGTGTAGACTTTGAAGCAGAATCACATCACAAGCTAGTTACAGTCACATAAAGTCTCTTTCGATACTCAAATACTTAAGAGAACCTACCCTGCATCAGCCAACCTTGTCAGTTACACTCATACATAGCACAAATAATATTTTTGAACAAGAAAATAAAAACAAACCTGAATGAATACAAATTAATTTTTAATTTAATAATATTCATTTGTAGTAATTTCACTTCAAATAAATTACATTTTATAACCCTAGAATCTTGATAACCAGTCAAAAATACACTTTAAAAATTAAATGCAAATCCTAAATTACTGCTGCAAAACTATTTTGAATTAGTGTTCAAGCATCTCGCATTACCTTGTAAAATGCCTGCCATTAGCATGATTCTCCGTTACTTCCATATTCTTATCAAAACTAGAATCTGAAGAATTCTGTGCATTTTTTCTCAAAGACCTTAAAGCACGTGTCCGGTGGTAGGTTTCGACTTCCTTAACTGAAGACCCATCCTTTAAGAAAAATTAAGAAAGCCCTCTAAGTTTCTAAGTTTTTTAGTCAAAACCTCAAATTTAAAGTCCTCCTAAGTTTTCTCCGATTACAAGTTAGTAACACAATTGCTTTTTGTGCAGAATCATTTTGCATCACCAAGAAACTATAACAGTTAATATCTAAAATAATCATTTCATGATAAACAAATAACAGTGATGTTTATGAAATAGCTAATATAAGATTTACTGATTGTAGTTCATAACAAGTAGTTCATAACTATTTCATAGCAAGTAGTCTAGAGAGAGTTTTCCAATATTGATAAAATCATAATAGTTGACAATAGCAGGTACTCATTTATTTTAAGGTTACAGAAATTAGAAACACCTAAGAAAAATACACACAACAAAACATTGTCACCTAACCACTGGCAGCAACCTTAAAATAACTTGACAATTAGAACTGTAATTTTGCCTATAATCCCAGGTACTCAGGAGGCTGAGGTAGGAAAATTGCTCGAGAGCAGCCTGGGCAACATAGCAAGATTCTGTCTCAATAAAATATAATAAATTTTAAAAAAAAAGAATTGTAATTTTAGCTTGGCAAAAAGGAGTTATTACCATATATTTTGCTTGTTTGAGATAATGCAACAACTAAATTCAAAAACCGTCTAGATGCTTGTATTATTTCAGGACAGGAAAAAAAGAACAAAAAACAAAAAAAGGAAAAAAGAAAAAAAAAAGAAAGAAAAAAACATGGAAAAAAAAACTGTTTAGGTATGTTAATCCATTGTAAAAGCCACAGAACTCTATGTAAATTTATTTTAGTAGACTCTCTTAGGCTGCTTTATGAGCTTCTGAGGTTCTGTCATAAAGTATTCAAAAGTTCACACACACAATCTCTGAAATCATATAAATAAGTACATTAGAATACTTAATGACTCTGGAATTCTATGCCTTACAACTCTGAAAATTGATCGTTTTTGAAAAACAGGCAGTGTTTTAGAAAAAAAAAATAAAACATTTGAATCTCTGCACCCCCCTTTTCAGGCTAGTTTTACCCTGTCATTTATTTTTGTTTTGAGTACAATACATTTGGTTGTTCACAAGTAAAATAAAGATATTTTATACAAGTATTTCTGTAAACATTAGATGGGTACTTCATAAAATATTAAATTATACATATGATTTGTCACCACCTTTATCACTGTACCTAAATTTAAGGATGTTTGAAAAAAGAATACCTATACTTTAGGTGGCATATTATTTTTAAAACAACACTTACATCTTAGATCAGTGTAGTGTAACATAAGACTTCTCAAGGAATATTTTAAGGGAATATATTTCCAGATTTTCAACTTCCAAATGTACTTTTTCTTAAAACTGGTCAGGCTGAGAAGACACAGGACATACCATTCGTCTTTCTCCCATTAAAAAAGAAAGTTTTATCTCTCGTCTGTTCTGAATCTTATTACTATGGACTGCTTCAAGGTGTTAAAAACCTTTCTAAAGCCAAAGCACACTGGTGTAGGTGTTAAGAAACTGAATGACTAAGCAAGGCAACAAATCCTTTCCCTTGTTAGGTGGTTTCCAATTCTTTGCTTTCAACAAAATTGCAAGGAGCTCTAATAAAGCTAAGAGACCATTAAAAATAATTTTTGGCAAATGATTTTTGATGTGTAAACCAGAAAAACGGAGTGACATTGCTAAACAAAACTCCTTTCATTACTATCTACTTATTTCTATGACAAATGTTTCTAATGGAACTGATGCAGAACGCTGTCATCAGCAATAACTAAGATATATCCACAAGGCTGAGTGTGGTTGCTCATGCCTGTAATCCTAGCATTCTGGGAGGCTGAGGGAGGATGGCTTGAGGTCAGGAGTTTGAGACCAGCCTGAGCAAGAGTGAGAGACCCCATCTCTACCAAAAAATGGAAAGAAAATTAGCCGGGTGTGGTGGCATAAGTCTGTAGTCACAGCTACTAGGGAGGCTGATGCAGGAGGATCACTTGAGCCCAGGAGTTTGAGGGTACAGTGAGCTATATATTGACACCACTGCACTCTAGTCTCAGAGAGTGAGACTGTCTCAAAAAACAAAGCAAAAAAAAACCAAATATACATCCACAGACACAAGAACTACTTGGGTGGTTAAGGGAACTTTAACCATATGAGATGTAATAAAATCTTTCTATGTTTAATCAATTAAAATCAAAATGGATGTTTTTGCTATCTTGATTGACTGAATATTAATAATTATATAATAACTCAATCCATAAAAATTTTATTTCTTGGAGCTCAGAAGCCTTCTAAGGCTCAGAAATTTTTCTTAAACTGATTTCATGTCCTATGCAAGTGTTTTCTACGACATGCATAGGCAGTACTTTGTAAAACTTATTTACAATTCAATTGTATATACGTCTGTAGTCACAGCTACTAGGGAGGCTGATGCCTCCCTAGTTTTACATAAAGAAACATACAGTATTTTTATTAGGTACCTCTAAACCTGAATTCGTCTTTGTGAAGCACTACAAGACAGTGCAATTCTCTTTTGATTACCATTACAGTTGTACAGAGGTTTTCACTGGTTCTATTTTTCCACTGTTACTGATAAGCATGAAACACTGACTTTATCCTACATACAGTCGGCATTTCAAATAAATAGCTTGTATAGGAAAAATATATGTTGACATAAAGTGTTGTGGGTTAAGTGGATTGAAAATGCAAATTTAAAAAGTGAAAACAAAAGACACAAACTTTTTGATTGTTAAAAGAGCTTGTTCGTGGTATTATTTTTTAATGTTACACGACGTATCAAATAACTATGGTTTTCAGATTCCAGTGGATACACATAAAAGTCGGATATAATAGTTTTATTCTTTGTAATGTCAATATCAAAAGATGATAGAAATTATATCCTTCGAAACTATTTTATTTAAACCAATGGGGGGAAACCTTAGATGGTAACTTAAAATTGTACAAGAGAATATAGAGCTAAAAAACAATTTAGGAATTCTTGGGAGAAAACATAGGGGGGAAACTTCATGACACTGGACATGGCAATGATTTCTTAGATATGACATCAAAAGCACAGACAACAAAAAAATAGATAAGCTGGATTTCATCGAAATCAAAAACTTTTGCGCAAAAAAGGATAGGATCAAGAGTGAAAAGGCGACATACAGAATAAAATATTTGCAAATCATTTATCTGATAAGAGGCTGATATCTAGAATATATAAAGAGCTCCTATATTTCAATAACAAAAAAAGCAAACAAGTCAAAACTGAGCAAAGGACTTCAATAGGCATTTCTCCAAAAAAGATATGCAGATTGCAATAAAGACATAAAAAGATGCTCAGTGTTGAGCTGGGCAGCATGGTTCACACCTGTAATCCTAGCACTTTGGGAGGCAGGAAGATTGCTTGAGGGCAGGAGTTTGTGACTAGCCTGAGCGACAGCAAGATCCTATCTCTACCAAAAATCTAAAAATTGGCCAGGTGTGGTGGTACGTGCCTATAGCCCTACCTACTCTGGAGGCTGAGCCAGGAGGATTGCTTCACCCTGGGAGTTGGAGGTTGCAAGCAAGCTATGATCGCTGCCACTGGACTCCATTCTGAGTGACAGAATGAGAACCTATCTCTAATAAATAAATAAAAAACCTCACAGCTGTAATACAGACTTATAAAATGTACTCATCCAAACTTAAGGTTTCTTGAAAGCCTGAAGAGTAGCATATTCTCTTGCACAATGGTATACATGCTATACCAAGTATAGCTGTGATATGCTTCTTTAACTTCATCTTTAAAACAAAAGAGTGGTGAATTCCTCACCATCAAACTATTCCACAAACTCCAGCAAGTTGGTTTCTACCTCTACAGCAATTTCAGTAGATCCACAACTATCTCCCAAATAGCTAAATCCAATCGATGGCCTTTTCTCTACCTCATTGATTCTATAGAGTTGATTATTTCCTTTTTTTTCAAACTGTTATTTGCATTTATTTTATGTTGCATCTAGTTTTTGTTTCTTCAGTTTCTTCTGGGATATCTTTTTCTTCTGTGCAACCTCCACTTCTGGTTTTAGAACAATTTGTTCCTTTTCAGTAAGGATCATCTCAATGTGGAAGGGGGAGCTCATGTATGCGTTAATCCGATCATGATCTCTGTAAGCTCTGAGATGCATCTTGGGTGCTTCGTTCACCTGGATGTGCACAATGACCACAGAATCTACACCTAAATCCTTAAGTTCAGCATTACCCTCTGCATTTTTAAGCATGTGCAACAAAAATTTAGCACTTTTTGAACCACCGACCCTGTGTCCAGCCCCACTGTTTGGCCTGGGCATACCTACCAACTCCACCATTGTAACGTGGGATACACATTGTTTCTTTAAAGTGACATCTTTCAGATACTTGGTGGCTTTTCCTATATGCGTACCCTTGATGGCCTGTGCAGTTTCTTAAAGTGAACACGAAGATTTGAACCTCTTGACTTGCATAATTTTGTGGGGTTTTCTGGGTCAAGTGAATAGCGAACCATTTTCACAGATCACCTGAGGCCACTTACAGGAAGAGACTTCCTTCTTTAAATGCTTTGATTCCTTGGTTTACATGATACTCTTGGTTTTATGATTCGACTTCTTCTCATCTTTAGAATACAGCCATTGTTTCAGATCTTCTCCTTAATTCTTTTTGTGTTTTGCTGTTTTTTGTTTGTCCTCAAAGATATATAGTCCTAACATCTTACCAACTCTGGCATAATACTCCCAATGGTCTAATGTTCACTGCTTTAGCTGGAAACACTGTCTTTTTTCCCCTGTATCCAAACAACTCTCAGAACTCTTGCTCTATTAGTTGGTATTTTTCTCTCCATTCCTACTACTACCACCTTAACTTAAATTCTATTTTTCTCTGTTTTGGTCTACGGGATAGAATGTATTCATTAAGAACTTAAACTCTGGAAATAGAGTGCCTTGGTGTGATTCTTGGCACATCACTTAGAACTGTGTAATCTTGTGCAAGTT